TCTCCATCTCTCCATCTCTCCATCTCTCCATCTCTCTCTCTCTCTTGAAGCATTGCCATTTCTGGTGGACATACTGAAGCTGTTTCGAGGGCTGCAGCAATGCTTCACTCCATCGTGCCACCGAGTACTCGTTCTGTGCCCCTTGCCAATGAACTCTTCCAGCCATGTGGTTTAAACTAGTGTAGATGAAGCAAGAGACGAACTCATGGCCAATCCTTGCTCATGACGAGACAACAAACATATCCAGAGGCATGCAAAAGGCAATTATGCAGGGTGCGCCATCAAAAAGATGGCCTCGACGTTCAGAGAAACAACATTTGACCACACCCTTGAAAATCGTGACTTGTAGATTCACCTGATATTCTTCCGCATCTTGTGGATAAATCAGTACAGTTAGTTAGTGGGGTAGCAAAAAAATGGGAGTACCCATCTTTCACCCTAAGATATGCCACACACTTTCAGGTGAAAACAGCCTACTGCTACATACTGCTTCAAGATTCGGCCAAGTTTGTGAATTCAGCCTGCGGTGAAACAAAGCTCGACTATGACCATCCATGAAAAGAAAGATTGTTTGGTATATAAAAGAAATTGTGCTTCTATACCTTCTGCAACTCTGGTGTCATCCGATACAAGCATATTCACTTTTATACATACATACATACATACATACATACAAGCATGCAATACAAGACAAGACAACACAACAGAACGCAGTCAACACAACACAGTACAATACAATACAATGCATTACATTACATTACATTACATAACATAACATAACATAAATTACATGCATACGTACCTATGTACATACATACATACATACATACATACATACATACATACATACATACATAACATAACATAACATAACATAACATAACATAACATAACATAACATACATACATAACAATACCATACCCTACCCTACCCTACCCTGCCCTACCCTACCCTTCCCACCTGCATACATGCATACATGCATAATTGCATGCATCCATGCATCCATGCATCCATGCATCCATGCATCCATGCATCCATGCATCCATGCATCCATGCATCCATCCATCCATCCATCCATCCATCCGTCCATCCATCCATCCATACATACATACATACATGCACCCATGCATACATACATAGATGCATCCATGCATGCATTGATACATGCATACATGCCAATTATATTACACCTAAACTTAAAACTGCAAATATATACATATACATATACAATTAAATCTACAATACATTACATGGCCATACATGACACTGCCATGCATTACCATACGTTCCCATACATTCCGATACATTACCATGCACTATCGTACATCACCATGGATTACATTACATTGAATCACACAGCATTACATTACATTACGTTGCATTACATTACATTGCATTGCATGAATGCATGCACGCGTTGCACTGCATTACATTGGATTAGATACCATTCCTCACCACCACCAGGCACTAAATATCATTACATACCATCACATATTACATGCCCTTCCTTTCGATTCTATGACCTCTGCATTGCATTATATTATATGGTATTACATTACAATAAATTTACAAACATACTTGCATATACATATACATAAATATGTATACTGTATATACGATAAAATAACCATGTGTGTGTGCCTGTCAATGTGATTTATTCTCTACATAGATATGTATATATATATACAATTAGACATGTGTATCATGTATATATATATATATGATGTGTGTGTGTGTGGGTGTGTGGGGGGGGGGCTATAGACACTTTTCACCGCAGACCAATAGCTGACCTGCCCTCAAGTCGGGTGCGCTGCATCGGGCTGCGGCGGGGATGCCTGCGACAGGTCGAGTGGGATTTTTGAACAAAAATGGTGGAGATGTACTTGATAAATATGGTGCTTCATCGCAAGATAACTGGGATTTGCTTAATATGACTTAACAGTCAAAATATGCCTAAATTATCACAGTCTGTAGTTTTTTGCGGGGCTTAAATCTTGACCGATAGCCTTTGCTTGGACTTCTTCACTTGAGACTTGTTTGCTGTCGTTGCGATGTGCATATGGTGGTTTCCTAAATAGGGATATCTCAAATCATCCAAAATTAGACCGTTTTGGTATTGAATCCCATAGTTTTTGGGTTCCCCATTTTAGGAAATCTCCATATCAGAGTAATTGCTGGATGGTGATCGGTGGTTGTCTATGTATGTATGTCTGCTTGCATGGTTATGTCAATCTTCGTATGACTTTCTTCTGCCTTTCTCTGCTTTGTTGTCCATTTGCAGATTTTCCCCCTGTGCTTGGCAAGGCCGAGCTTGATGGTCGGGCTCGGCAAGTCTAAAAAAAAGGCCTTTGAAAGGCTTTATATGAAACTCGATGCCCCAAAATTCTTATACATATATATATACTAGACTATCTATATCTATATCTATAATTATCTATATATATATATACTAAGGCACTAGCAGATAGAATATTATCCAGTGTTCAGAGATCGAAAAATTTGCGGGTGAAACCTGGTTTCCCGGTGAGAATATTCTATCTGTTTAAGATGAGTAGCAAAAAGTTGATTTCGCGTATGTATATATATACGAAATCGTTGATATTGTGAACTTATAAATTATGGAAATATATCTCTGAACTATTCTATCTGTTGGATCCGTGTATATATATATGGTTTTCTGCATTTTCAATGGTATATTTTATTCGATGAAGAATGAATATCAACAAAATCAACAACTTCATATCAATATATTCATCAAAGAAGGAATCATCACTGGTATCATTGGTCTGTTGGAATATTCTATCTGTTGGTTTCATGTATATATATATAGGTTTTCTGCACCCTCCATGGATTACTGACTACTGTATCCAACAAAGAATGAACTTTTAACGTTTCAATTAATGAATTTGGGTGATCTCGTTGAACTTCATATTTTATCTATGAAACCACATAAGAATTGTTTCATCAAAAAGTGAATATCACTGGAATATTCTACCTGTTGGTTCATGTATATATATATATAGGTTTTCTGCATCCTCCATGGATTACTGATTATTGTACCCAACAAAGAATGATTTTTTAACGTTTCAATTAGTGAATTTGGGTGATCTCGTTGAACTTCATATTTTATCTATGAAACCACATAAGAATTGTTTCATCAAAAAGTGAATATCACTGGTATCATTGGTCTGTTGGAATATTCTATCTGTTGGTTTAATGTATATATATGTGTGTTTTGAACCTATGGGATAATGTTGTGTTTTATGCATGTCATTGTGGATCACAGCATGCACGGTGAGCGCAGTTCCAGCAACTTTGCAAATTTCAACGGTATAAATAGAAACATTCAGTTGCGTTTCTGCATTGAACACCAAACCAAAGTTACATATATATAGGAATACTAGATTCGATTGGTGCTGTTTCTGTGGGAGATGTTGAAGGTATGGTTTTGGAAGAATTCCAAAATATAATGTTATCTGTATATATATTTGTAGATTTTTTCTTTTTAAACGGTCTTCAAAAATCAACAGATAGAATATTCAGACTGGAATGCCAGCTTTGCTGGCTGCCAGTGGTCACATTCTATAAATATCATATATTAGGAAAACATTGGCACAAGCCTTAGCAAGAATACAGTTTTCATGTGTTTGGATGTGCAATTAGTAGAAACCACATGCAATGTTTTCCTAATCATCCCATAGCTATTCAATCATCTGAGGGATACACTATTGTGGAAAACATTGACATCAAATGCAACATTTTCCCGGCAATCCCATAGATAGTCAATGATTTCAAAAATATAACATCATGGAAAACGCTGAAACCAAATGCATCATTTTTCTCAGCAATCCCATAGAGAATCAATGATTTAAGGTATGGAAAACATTGAAACACAAATGCAATATTATCTCATTAATCCCATAGAGAATCAATGATTTTAGGGATACATCATTTTTGCAGGTGAGAATATTCTATCTCTTGATTTGCTTGCAAAAATCATCAAAATCATATAGTTTCTTTAATGTTTTGCTTATCATGAATATTCTATCTGTTGGATTTGCTGATAGCGTTTTGGACTATTCTATCTGTTGTCCAGTGTTTTTTGAATATTCTATCTGCTGGTGACTTAGTGTATATATATATATTCCCACAGTTGATCACGATTTTCCCCAAAAATCGCAGTTTTGGGGTAACACACCCGCCATGTTTCAGACGCCACGGTCCAGGGCTGACCTCCGGTCGCGGAGGCGCAAAGGAGCGAGGTCCCTTTGACTCGGTGGCCTCGGTGGCCTGGGCCTCGGCGGCCTCTGGATGAAGCTCCACCAGCAAAGGCCTCCGCTTGGGACAGTAGGACCAGTTGATTTGATTTGTTGCAGTTGATTTGAAGTCCTACTCATCTGACTCATCTCCTCTCTAAGACTCCATGGATTATATTGGATTATGGGATTATCATGGAGCATCCAACATCTGGCGTCCATCCAGCATCATCCAGCCTTACATGTGGCATCTGAAACATAATATGTGAATCTGTGACAAAATGGAGCAGTCCCATACTTCGCCAGGAGCACTGCAGGAGAAGGGTTCAACTTGGCTCCCAGCTCTTCTGCTGATTTTGGACGCATATACCGGGCGTACTCTTCCTCATCACTCTCCTTGAGCGTGGCGGCCTGAGACCCTGGGATGTTTCGGATGGTTTGGGCCCCATCCCCTGTCTTGTTGGGCATTTGTAGAATCATCAACAACTTTCGGGAATTCAGCATTTCAGCAAAAACAGAGCTTGATCGGATCGGTTATTGACCCACCAGAATAATTGTAGTTCACCTCATCAAGAGGATATTCATGGAACTTCTCATGGAATTTCTCATGGAACTTCATGGGTTATTTTTGGTTATACAGTTATACACCATTGTTCACCATCATTCACAATTATTAACCATCATGAACCACCATCAACCATCATTATCATTAACATTCATTAACATTCATGAACATTCATTATTCATGGATATTCATGGATATTCACCACCACTTCATCACCTTTCGACACCCGTTGCGGGTCACCCATCCCCCCGTTCCACTCCTCGATGCTTTCCCCGCGCATCTCGAGTGCCGCCTCCAGCGCCGTGCGGAGCCCGAGCTTCCGCAAGGCTCTGACGCTGGGATGGCGCCGCGTGCTGGGGCCACCGACCTCCTGATGGATCGCTGGCTTTCACATTTAACGATTTGGTTGGGAAAAACAGTGAAAAACACCAGCGATTGGAGGCTTGAGGAAACCACTTTGCAGCTTTTACCTCCAAATATATAGGAGTGTTCACAAATTATACAACATATTCGATCATTGGGTTGAATTGGTTGGGAAAATCTTTACCGCAATACCATGGTCTTTACCCCCGAAGGGTTCTTGCAGATTTTCCCTTCAATTCTGGGAATGTATCCTGCACGGAATCATTGATTTTGAGGCTCCTACTGGGAAATGTGTTGGGTGTTTTGTTTACGTGGAAATTTGAGTTTTTCGATTAATCTGTTGACAGGGGGATGGTGGTTTAATGCTGATACAATTGTATTTTATCGCGATGATTTTCCATCAGAAACGTAGCCTCAATCCCGATCGTCGAGGAGAGTTGAATTGAAGTATCCATGCACAGTCCAAAGTGACATAGATTCATAGATTCATATAGTTTCCAAGTCCTTCACAAAGACTACGATATTTTGGGAGCTGCCCAACGGCCCAACGGCCCAGTTGTTGGGGCAAGATACCAAGGCATAATCCAGTGGAGTGCGATCCTTCCTGATGCGACTGGAGGATACTGGAGGATGGACAAACCGAAAATGCTAAACTTTTCACCAAAGAAATGCTAAGCTGCTAAAATTGCTAAAGAATATAAAACTTGATCAACGCCAAAACCTGTGATGTTGATGGAGAATTCCAAAGCCCTTTCAAAACACTCCCAAACTGTCCAGAGATGTGACTGCAGAAGAGCCGGGATTTGTTTAAAAAGGATCCACAGAAACTCAAACTTCCCAGGCTGAAAAAAAACGACAGAATGATCCAGGGCATTTTCTCCCTTCCAAGGCTCATATCCACCGCGTTCTTGTTTGCCCTTGCTTCACACAGAAGCCGCACCACTTCCACGCGGTTCTGGGCCTTTTCACTGCCAGGTTCCTCAGCTGCATTCCAGATGTGATGCACCAGGAAAGATCATCAGACTTGACTATGATCTGGTTGACTGGTTGATGGAAATTTGTCCCAATCCCAAACTCAATCCAAATTTCATCAACCAGAAGGCCTAGGGTTCAAGTTATGACTGATCCCAAAAAAGTGGCTAAGCGGTCTGCATATCCAACCCGATCCCGCTGTGATCCAAGCGTCATCTAAGCATGCATCACGGCAGGCATCATGAAGAATGGTGAAGCGCATCTCTGACGTCCGCAAAAACACGGGCAGCTGTGCTTTTAAGCCTTGACGCTTGGGAACGTCCACTGCCATAAGCTGTGTGACGGGCATCAGATCGACGGTTGGGTGTCATTCAATGACATTACTATTTCATTGTGGTCATAAGGAAACCAACAAGGAAATTCCAATTGTTTAAACTTTAAACAAAATTGGTCCATCACCAGCTTGTTCGTCGCTCGGCCTTCAAGCCCATGGCAACACTATGAATTGCAAGCTTCCAAAACCAAACCTTGCCAGTTTTTTTTCCAGCTCTAAGTTTATAAAGTTTATAAAGTTTATAAAGTTTATAAAGTTTATAAGTGCTTCATTTCCCACACTTTCCCACCATGTTTCCCAGCTTTTGGATCCCCCCCATGGCGCCCAGGGCCTGCTTCCACCCTTCCTGGGTTGCAGTCCGCCACGTGGCGCAGCAGCTCCGCCGAGGTCATCTTCCAATCCGCCGCGCGGCCCGTGCGCACGCGCTCCGCGTAGTCCTCCGCACGCTGACGCGATTCCTGGACGCACGTTGAAGCAACTGAGGCAACTCATGGACCAACTAGGATCTCAACTAGGATCTCAACTCAGATCTCTTTGCATCTTTGGGTGCTTTGACCCAATTTGGCCTAATTTGACCTAATTTGACCTATCCAAATTTGTCCATTTGTGGTTCTCAATGATTGGCATGATATTGGAATGGCATGCTGGCCAGGGTGTCACTAGCTTCTGCCAACACCCGCAATGGCTCCTTGATGGTGTCAAACTGCTCTAAACGAGACTCTGCGGTCTCCAGCACCTGTGAAAGATTTCGAATCTTTGTGTGGAATTCAAGATTCAAATTACTTGTGACTTTGTGCTTCTTTGAATCATCCAGAGTGCGAATATCGTACAAAACGGAAGCAAAATCCTCAATAAACCCTCGCTTGCTGGCTAATCTCCCCATCTTTCTTGGATGTATCCCCATTCTCGACCCTTCGAATCCACATGTGTCATGGTCAAAAGATGGTATATGATGGATGGTTATGGATGGTTAGGGTTCATCCCATCATGGGAATCCCTAGTGGATTGATGACCATCCCCCAATATCGGTATATAACGGTGTATATATATATAAGACAATCAATCTTTTGACGTGCGGCATGTAGAGTTAACTACACTCACCTGCCCCAGGCACAGATGGCGGGCACAAATGAGCCATGAAGGTCCGAAATGACACTAAAATAACCTGTACATAACAAGTCATCACTGACCTGAAAAGGTAAGATGAATTCCGAATTAACCTCCAGCGTTTCGTTGAGCACGAAGTCTCTTCATGAATGCCTGATTAAGGCTCCACCTTTGATGTGCAGTCTTCTCAACAATTGGGTCAAAGTTGCAAATAATATTGACACGATTCGAATGGATGGGTCGATTCAAAGCCAGAGCACCGTTCAGTCTCATCAGATAGTCCTGGATGAATAACATTGTAGCACTTTGATTGGGGATAACTGGCCTGCACGGAATGCCAGCAACAGATGTCTTGAGTCCAAGTCGAAAAAGTGAATAACACTTGTTAGTATTGAAGCTCGGAATTGGATCGTACTGCAAAATTGTACCTACGTTCTGTAGGAGGTTACGAAAACACAAAATTTGTAAGGACACCGTCCTCTTTGCATCAGGTAAGATGACAGCTTCGGGATCATCGTACTTGATATATTTTGATTGTGCACCTGCACCAGAAATACGAATGGGGCATCGCCACCCTGTGCTCAAATAAAAGCTCGTAAGAAGTTCAAACCAAGAAATGCCCAAATCACCATGTTGTACCGGATCATAATCAGGATCAACGTCATCCGGCCACTTGAGCAAATCACACCAAATCTTGAAAGCCTTCGCAATATTGGCCCCCTGTAAACAGGGGTGAAACATTTCATCATCACAATAAACCATCGGTCTCGTTGAATATTCTGCGGGAGAAAAAGCAATCATTGCCTCAAGAGCTTCCTGTCCCATCAAATCAGATCTGAATAGGCCATCATCGCGAAAGCCAGCCTGTCTAGGATGAAGGAGTGATGAAAGACCACCTTCGCGTTTCTTTTCGTCCACACATTTGCATCTCAAAAGATTCAAATCATGGACAAAACGTAAATGATCCTCCAGCATGCATGTTTCATTCTCAGTGTGGGCAACAATCTCGTCGGCTAATGAGCGAATCTCACTGGGTACCTTTTGATAAGCCGTATTTGCTGCTATATCGGCGCACGTGTTGCCAGCAATGCGCCAAAGGTCTTCCTTGTCGATGGCTGATTCCAGTTTTCTGTGGCTTTTAACCTTATGGATACTAAACTTCTCAATGTGCCAAACCTCAGCCAAAAGAGAAATTAGATCACCATTGGAAAACTTATGTAAAATTGGTCTGTAGTAGCCCTGCTTGACAATTTCCACGATTCTGCATACATACGATGCGTCGGTGAAGAAATCAGCAAATGGAACAGGATCAAGACGGCTTACATCAGTAGCTGCAACTAAAACAGCAAAAAGTTCAGCACGTGCTACTGTCTGCTCACCTGGAACAATCCCAACTCCACAAACGTGAAAAAAAGGGAATTTGGGCTGTGGTAAAAAGAGGTAGTCAAGGACCTCGTTTTTTTGTGCATCACTAACTGAGACATCCTGTACAATCGACCAAGTCGCAATACGTGCTGATGCATGTCTGGGATGCTTGGCGGAGCCATCTGTAAAAAACCGCAACCGGTCGCTCACAACAGGCTTCATGGAAATTCGATCAGGATACTTCACGGTGCTTAAAAAGGCCCTCAAAAGAGACACATCGGAGTGCATCCTTGGTATGGGAAGATAGATCCATTCTTTCCTACATTTCTCCAAAACTTTACAAGGTTTCGTCATCACCTCTCTCACACTTTTCAGAGCACTGCAATGAAGAAGACGGTGTTCTCGTGAGTCAGCTTGACCACAAAGTTCACATGCTTCCGTGGTTTCATCATCCCATTTCGCTTTTTGAGACTGGGTTTGAAAGCCTCCAACGACATTGAGTTTAAGCAGGTTTTGTCCTAGATCATCAAAGTTATGAAAAACTTTGTGAAACACACCAACGTCTGGAAAGAAGTCACCGATTCCCTTCCGATCGCATAAATCAAGGATGTGGAGTTGCCACATCATTTTCATCATCTTTGAAATTCTTCTGCAGGAGTCAGTTAGCACATTGCATGACATGAAGTCGGGTCCCGAAATGACCACATCAACGCTCAAATGCCAACCAATCTGTTTGAGATACTGTTTAAAAGCAGTGGCGGGGCCGAAAGGTTTCGACCCTGACCAATTAACTGCATCACAAATGGTCTGTTTTGCCAAATCCGGCATCACTGAGGACATCCTACGGACAATTCGAGCACACTGCAGGATGGTATAAAGCATCGGATCACATAAAAACTTTGAAAGAAAAGTGCATCCTATCACCGATGAGGCGTTGTGCCACTTGCCAACTAAACAGTTGATTGCCGCGCGTCTCAATGCAGTGTAATGATGTTTTCCAATGTAGGAGGTGTCGGAGCTGTAAAGGGCCATGGGCCAGATAGCTGATTGAATCAACTTTGATTTCACTTGCAATGAGGCAGGAATCCATTCAAGTCTGTGTAGGCGGGTAACAGCTTCATCAATTTTGTCTTTAATGAATCCCAATGATACACCTCCCTTGCTGTAGGTGACATTCTCTCCCAGATCTTTGACAGCATTTCACCTGTGTCGAAACATCACCCTGAGGGTGTAAATTTTCCAGTGTCAAACAAAATTCACGGAACTCCTTCTTGGTGCCCCAGTGCCAACTCTTTCCATGATCGATTTGTAAACGTAGTACCGTGGTGCCACGCAACATTTGTTGATATGCTAAAAAATTGGCTTTTTGGGTTTTAGACATCCAGCTCCAGTTATCGGCGTAAGCAAAAGGCCGCACCGAATCACTCAAAATCAAATGATAGTAGAAACATGAGGTTGCCAGCATAGCAAGTACTGAAATGCTACATCCTTCAGGTACCCCTGTTGTCGATGGTATGCCCTGTGCAACGCATCCCTGAATAGTAGGGTATCTGACCATCTTGTCAAGGCTCAGTATCCAAGCCATCACAATGTCTTCAGGTATGCCCAACCTCTGCATGATGCGGCCACAAGCCCATCTTCCAAAAGTATTGAAAGCCTTAATCAAATCAAGTGAGAAGCCACCCAATGAGGTCCCATCAGCGAGTGATTGTTCAATGGCTCTTTTCTGTGCAAATGCCAATTCTTTTACTCCACGTCCAGGAAGTCCACCTGAAATGCTATATGGAAAGTGATCCTTCCAAACATTCGCGGTGACACGGAAAATGAACTTTCCCAGCAAACGATAAAGGCAGCTCAAAATAGTTATGGGACGTGCATGGTGCATGGATTGAGGTGTCTGAACCTTAGACAGCAACACCGTCTTTGCCATCATCATTCCAGGTCCAAAACCGGAACGGAGAACATGTTTAAAAATCACAATAAGATCCCTGATGCAAACGCAAGGTAGGGCTTTGATCTCATCGTTGGACCAACCACATGGTCCAATCGCTTTACCAGAAGGAATGCGTCTGATGATGTCCATCCAAATATCCAGATCATCAACTGGATAGTGAATTAAAGATATCTCAGGCATGGTAACAGAGTTCAAAAGGTCAGTAAAAGAGCTCCATGTAGATCCTGAAAATTGTTCCTCCCTACGATCGCGTAACCACATTGGCGTCCAAAAATTGGTGAATTCCTGAGCAATCTCATCCGGTTTGATGGCAAAAAATTGGATATGCAAAAACCCTTGGGTAGGAAGGGCTCCATCAACATGCTTGAAAAAAATCTTTTTATTTTCTTGTTTGACAAACTCAATCTGGGCTTGTTCAAAGTGAAGTTTGGCATGAAGTGGAATCAAGCAATCGTGATCGATCTTCAAAGCCGTATTACCAACTTTCGACCGTAGAAGCTTTGCAGGGATTTTCCATGTCACAGGCACTTCCGACAGGCTGTCCACATTTTTGGCCCTCAGAATCTTGTAAGTAGTTTTGCAGAAGTCATCGGACTGGTCAATCTGCAACATGCTCTTGAATTGATCAGAACGACATTTGTTCTCGGCATGGCAAGCATGAATACAGTCGTGTTCAGTAATCTGGTCAACTGTCGAGAGAAGATCAACATCAGGCAAATGACAAGGAATTTCTGGAATTGCTTCAAAAGACAGGATCCATCGAGACCAAGAGTTACCATAACCTTTGGCTTTCAAGATCTGCGTCCATTCCAAGTTTGCATCTTTCAGTTTGTTGGACAAGTTGGGATCGTCTTCCAGCGCATCAGGTAAACTCTTGAGTCTTCTGAGCAATGATTTGATCCGTCTTACTTGCCGAATCTTCAGTCTTGTTCTCAAGTGAAAAACTTCACATGGAGGATTGAAACCACCATGGCGATCAGTTTTCACTGACAATTTCGGTTGATGAGTCTTGATTTTGTCAGGAGAACATCTACCTTTGTGGGAAGATGGCAAACCAATTTGTGGGTGTCTATTGGGATCTTGTCGATGCAAAAATTGCAAAGCTTTGTCGACAGCCTTTTCGGTTTCTTGAGACCATACATGAAATGCATGCTCAACTTGACCTACATCAGGTGCCGCTGACTGTGCAAATAGATTGTCAAAATCAACAGGTTGATAATATTCCTCAATGAGTTGTTTTGATGGTGCAAAAGTGGCCCACGTTTTCGGGGTATTCCACAAACTAACAGGTGTTCTTTCTTTTTGGAAATCGAACTGAATCAGCAGCGGAGAGTGAATGTCAAATTGGTGATCAGCACAAACACACATTCCAGTGATCCGATCTGCCAAACAAGGGTGCATGAATGCCGTGTCATTCCTTGTAGAACCGCTACAGGTGGCAGGCAAATCACATTGAAATCTGCTACGATACCATTGGAAAGCTTCAATAGCACCATCGTCTTGGAAAAATTTATAAGCAGGAAGTTTCACAAGTGGTTCATTAAAGTCTCCGGCTACGATGTATGGCAATCCTATGGACACAATCACCGGTATAAGGTTTGCAATGAGTAAATCATTGGGCCTAATTCCCTCTTTGTGTCTATTGGCAAAACCATAAATGGCAATCACAAGAACTTCCATCTGGCCAAAACGTGCTATGCAAGCTGAAAATCTCTGTGTTTCCCACAGCGTGGGTTGGATGTCCCCTCTCAACTGTCTGGAAGTCAGGGAAGAAAAAACTGCTGATCCAAGAGCCTCCCCTCTGTATGATGGACGGTTGTCATTTGTAGATTTCTTAGGGGCCACTGGTTTGGACCAAAAGCTTCTAAATCCACATCCCTTCAATTTGTGCGTACATTCTTTCTGAACTATGCTGGTGGCACTGGTTTCGGAAACAGCTGAACAGTCAGCCCCCAAGTCAAGCAATCTGTCAATTTTGCCATTGACCGCTGTCGGATTGACAACTGCAAATTTCACGGAAGAACCATCGGGCCCGGGGTTCTTGGCTTGGCCGATGCAGCAAGCATACAAAAACGAGTGACAATTCATACGCAAAACACGATGGCATTGAACAAGAGCATGGAAATGACAATACCAAGTTTCAAACCCAGGCAAAAGTTTGGAAACACCGTCCAGCCTGAAAAAGCTAGTAAGTGCTATATCCCTCTCGGAATGGGTAGCTATTTGCAAAAGCTGGAGCACAATGCACATGCAAGTCATGAATGACAAAATGTCATCCCAGTGAAAGGCAACATGACGAATTAAAACTAGGCTGCGTTTTGTTCTCGGCATGCAACACACGGTCAATCCTGAGAAGTCACTGACACCTAGTCAAGGCTGGTATGGGTCTTTCTCATTGCATTTCGCCTTTTTTGGCGGAGGCGATGCTCTGGTCTGGTTGGCTGCAATCAACTCTTTCAACTCCATGAATTGCGATGACATGGCACTATCATGAACTTGGATGGCACTCGAGAGGCTGTCCTTGAAAAGTTCAGCCATGCTTTGAAACTGGTCGGTGGTTTCGGCTCTCAAGGCATGGAATTCAGAAGCTGTTGCTTCCATGTTGCTATCAATCTGCATACGCTGAGAGTCTACCATCTTCTCAAGTTTGGACATGTCTTCTCTGAGTGCAAGAATCTCTTTTTCTGCGCTCTGACGAACAAGCTGAATTTGCTCTTCCTGTCTCTGGAACTTGTCCTCAATGGGAGACTCGAGACGTCTCGGAGGTTGTGCGACATTCTGCTGAGGAACAGGCTTGGCAGGGACAATCGGCTGTGAGATCCCAGACGTCCCATTCAGCTTGATCCAATTGCTCCAAGGGTCACTTTGCAAATTGCCACTTTCCTGCGCAGCGTTCTGAGAGATATCGCCTGGCACATTTTGCAACATCTTCTGAACATTCCCTGCCAAAACGACAGGTTGGTGATCTTTCTTGTCTTGCACCCATCTAATGAGGACAGGTTCATTGTTCCAATTCGGAAAAATTTCATCAAACTTCCTTTCAGCAACACAGAGCCAAATGGTGGCACTGATGGGTCGGACAGGTTTGGCCTTCCAACCATGGTGATTGATCCATTCCATGACTTGCTCGCTGGTGGTTCCTACAGGTGTCGGCTCCACTCGAAAGAAGAAGTTCGACGAAATCAAACTCGGCATGCTGTCTTGCGGTCTCAACTTGGCAAAAGCTGCAGGAAAATCAAGTCTCGTGAAGCGGATGCCTCTCGCGGTAGAATCACCTTTGAAGCTTTTCACAAGTCCATAGTGGTTTTCACATTGAGACATCTTCACTGCAAGTTCAACCTGAGATAATTTGGTCCAAACGATCATGTAGTCACCCGAGACCTTCTTGCTTTCCGTCTTGGGACATGTGAAAACTCCACCATTTCCAGACGCTCTCAAAATAGCTCTTAGGTCGGATGTCTGAATGCGTGCATGAAATTGGATTGTGGTTGCCAGTTCGGGGGCAACTTTTTTCGACTGCTTTTGAAAAGATCGTCCCCAAGGAGGAGAAACGAATGTCACCTCAGCAACCTCATCACCAAGCCTCTTCATCATGTTCTTGACTGGAGACATGATGATACAATCCCATTCCTCCTTTGTCATGTCGTCTTTCATGGCCGTAAAGGAAACGACATGAGTGTCATTTGCAGGAATCACATGATCATCTTCTTCATTGCCAATGTGGACATCCTTGGCGCCTAACTGGTGCAAACATGCTTTGAGAATGAAGGGTTCACCATTTACGCATGCTGGGACCTGCACTTTTTTGCACAAGTCAGATGATTCACATCCACAAAAACCAATGATAAGAATGGCCAATTCGTCTTGCGACAGAGTTGCATGGCTGTCAATCCATTGTTGAGCTTCGCTGTATTTCATGACAATGATGCCCGACACATTAGGCGAAATCTTTTGGATCTGCTGGCAAGTCGTGTCATCTTGATTTTTGAAAAAATCATTCTGAATCACAATGCTTTCGATGGGCAAATTGGCAGGCAAACTTCTGGAAACAGTCTGAAACTTCTGTTGGGCCTTCTTCTTGGCTTTTTGCATTTTCTCTGCGATCTGTGGAAGTGGTACGTGGAGAGCCAAAGCTAATTGGCTTAGTCCCTCCCACCTTTTTTGGATCTGTTTCTGACCCAGTACACTGGCTACCGCTGCATGACCCGCTCCACGCAGGATCGAATCTATGAAATGAAGGGACTCTTTGAGGTCGGCCCCTTGCGCCAGAAGAAACTTGGCAAGTCCATTTTTTTGCTGGACATTGAGTTCATGTTGGTTTGAGGGCTCCTTTTCCAAAAAAAACCCTCCACGCAAAGCACCAGTGAATGTCAACACAGCAATGGTCTTGTCTTCAGGACCACATCGGGAGAAATGTTTCAATGCAAAATCTGGATTAACCAAGCCAGTGTGTGCTGCCAAGCGCATGGTGAAATGGTCACCCACAATAGTGCAAGACTGGTCCCATGTGTCAAGCAAATTCTGGACCGGATACATCCTAGGCAGCAAACCCTTGAAGATCACCGTACTCCAGAGCTTGATTTTTGTGTCAATGTCGTCAATTCCAGCTGTTGGAGTTGGCATACCTACACAGACAAGTGCAGACCGGAGGATCGAAATCAGGAAATTCACTGTCGTTGGTGGAACGCCTGGTATCCTGACGAAAAGGGTTCGCATCTTCAGGGGTTCGAAGGACATATAGTGGCAGACTGCGAGCCATCCACACTTCTGCAACATCTCATCAATTCCTGTTTCTTTGAACATGATCAGGAATTTCCTCAGCAGCTCGTGTTCACCATGGAAAGCGAAGAAAGCTTCCTGCATGGATCCTTCAATTTCCAAGAAGTCAGATATGTCAACACGTTTGGCCCCATGACTGGAATCCACAATCATCTTGAGTGCAAATGACAACGCACCTTCGAAATCAGATTCTTCCATGTGGGCTAAGTCCCTGAAGTTCTCGGAATCAGCAAGCTGTTGGCTGGAAATCAACTTCACAGGACCTCCACCCTTCAAGCCCATGACAAGATGCACCACGATTTCACCAGATTCAGCTACAACAATCTTTTGACCATGTCACACATGTGAGCAGTGTTCAAAACCCTCTGTCATCTTCTACTGGTTGATGAGGATTCTCGCATTCGATCATATTTAGATTCAATAAATCAGGTAGTATTACCTTCTGTAACAACTAATCCACCAGGAGTTTGGTCACAAATCATGCTCTTGAGAATCCCTTCGAAATCAACATGCATCAACCATCCACTAGCAGATCGACCCTGCCACCGGCTCCCCAAGGAACGCGTTTCAACGAGCTCAACGAAGCGGGGGGAGCGATGGCCAAGTACGGCTGCTTCAGCAGCTCATAGGTCTCTGCAATGGCTTCCCGCAACCTGGTTACTGGGAAATTCACAGGAAAACTGTGGAGGTTTCTCCAAAAATTAATGATACAACAGGGAACTCAACAAATGGTCCTAGGGTTGATGGGTTAAAGCCATGCTTTCCTGTCATGCTTTCCCTTGAGGCGGGGTTCGAAATGCATCGAGGACTCAAGTGCATGTTCACAAATGATCTAGCACCTGAGTCTTTGAGACATAACACATCATTTCTACAGTCTCGCCAAGATTTACTTCCTGACTATGCTTTGGTAGCAGGGATCTTTACCCCAGAGAAAATTCCCCCCTCCCAAAGTGGTAGTGCACCCCAATGAAACAATATCTTCAACCTCACCAGAACCTACTCGCCAAGATGCATCTCGGCATCACCAGTTCTCAAGCCCATTCGCAGGCGACCCTCCAAATCTGCACGAATTGGAGCAGTTTCTTGGAGCGCTGCCTGAGATCGTTGTTCAGTTGAAGGTGAAGTCACTAGGTACCTTGAAAATAGTTGATACCTACCAATTGTGCTTGATACTTCCACAAACTTTAGTCGTTTGTTATCCACTACTAAATAGACCCAGCTGTTAGTTGGGGGGAGGGTAATGTTTGAAAGGTCTCAGTACAACCCGCATCCAATCAGAAGAAGCTCCCAAATCTATTCCAGTCATAGAATGGTTAAATGCGTGTCGAAAACCTTGAAGAAAATAGGACGAATCTGCAGGATCCTGGTATTCAACAAGATTCAAAAATTGGGATAAAAAGAAACAGATATTTCAGAGGAAAAACACCATCCGACCACAACGACCACAAACCAACAACCTGCCGGCGCCAGGAAACCTTGATCTTGGCATTTCGTTCCGTCTCCTCCCGGGCCTGCTCGCTGGCCTTGAATTCAAGAGGTGGCCAACTCGACCAATCTTAGTGTAATATACACAAAAAACATACAACTTATGTAACATGATATACAGTATGTGTATATAACTATTACATATAATATATATATATACACATACATACATATATATATAGTAACCCCAAAAAAAGACAGGAAAAAAAGTGAAAAATCAGTTAGAATATATAGATCTTATATATTTACTTGTCTATCTTTTTGGGGGTTACTAAAATCCAGTCTAACCCAATCTAGTCTAGTGTAGTCCCGTCTAATGGTCTAATAAAATCTAATCTAGTCTGTCTCTCCATCCATCCATCCAACAATCTATCTGGCAAATTATCTAACACATAAGCTGTCAATCTATCAGTCGATCTACGTATCTGTATGTGAAAGTGAATGTGAATGTGTATGTGTGTTCGTGTGCATGTGCATGTGCATGTGCATGTGCATGTGCATGTGTATGTGTATGTGTACGTGTATGTGTGTTACATGTTATGTACATGTGTTCTGGCTACAGAATCTAACAATAATATTCCTCCATGATAATGATAATCGCAGAAAGAAACAAGAACTTGAACATCTCATAGTTCAGCTCAGAGTTCATCCCCTACCAACGGCAGCAAGTGCCAGGGCACAAACTGCTTGTAGCGTTCCTGGCGATTGGCTTCCACCTTGTTCTCCAGGTCACGCATGTTCACCAACCAGTTGGTGTCCAAAGCCTGTGGACCTTCCAGGACTCAAATCTGGGAGATCACCCTTTGTGACTGAAAATGGGTTATCTACCCCCAATACATGGCGTTTCTTATCGTGAAAAAATGATGATAAACCATACAAACCCTGAGAAACCAGTGGATTTAGGATGATTTAAGGGTTATGTCATCCTTTTCAATCGATTTTCAGAGAAATCTGCTGTACCTCATGGCCATGGGTCCCATGGGTTGTGTCTCAGCTCCAGCCTGGAGCTGCCATGATGGCTGGAGTCTCAGCTGCTAACTCCACATCTTCCAAGGAAGATTCTGGAACCATCTTCAAGATCTCTACGTCCTGGCAGTACAGCATACAGCAAACGAAGCAAACAGCATACGCAAACATGATCAAACATGATCAAACATGGTCATGTCAAGCCGCTTGGGTTAGCTTCTGGTGGTTCTTCGAGTCTGGAAACCTCCAATATATTATGCGTAGAGAAGTTCATGCTCAACCGGCCACGCAGGTCTGTGATGATCATGCAGATTCTGGTTGGGATGATGTTGACTTTCGAAAATCCATCTGAAACTATGCTTCGCATGCGGATTTGTTCAGGCCGACTTGCACCTCAAGATCCAACTCGTAAAGACCAGTCCTCGGAGGTATCATCAGAAAGACTTAGAATTAGTGACCTTACTTTATCCCTACATCCTGGTCACAAAAAAACATCTCCATCCAAAATGGGGCACCCAAAAATTACAGAGAATTGTGATGATTATCACCATTCCAATGGCCACATTGTTCTGTAGGGGTTGCAGCGGTTGCAGCTAGGTGGCTCGTGACTATAGTCCAACACCCAGCCGTGGGACCCATCCAGCTCAGGACGGCCCACAATGTTTCGAACGATGACCTGAGGGAAGTTTGGGCCAAGAAAAAACGGAAGAACTTAAGGAAAATATAGGAAAATCATGGAACATCTACAAGAAACCTATGTTTTTTCCATGAAATATGATAAATTGGTAGATGACCTGGGTGTTTCCCGCAAAATGTCCCGTGAACAAATCCAATGAACAATACGCACATACGGAGATGGATCAATACTCATGGGATCTTATGGGACCATCTTGGGAACGCAATCAACAGACATAGATAGCGATATATACATGGCCACTGCAGAGAATGAGGATGGTGGAATGTGCCAACGTGAATTGGGAGATGAACAACACCAGCTATTAAGGGTGCAGAAGCCTCCTTGGTTTTTTGATCCAGACCCCATAGCGAAACTCGAAAAGCCTGGGGAATAGACCTTCCAGTGAAAGAATGGCCCATATCAGTCTGCCAAACAGCTGTGCTTTCAAGCCAGCCACAGGGACCCCCCCCCACCAAGGTCCCCCGGCTTCAGCCCCCTTGCGCAAGCCAGGGCCGGCCGTCAGGGCCAAGGCCACCTCTTGCTCCACCTGGCCTGGCAGACCTGACGCAAGACGCGTGACATTCGCAGCCCTGGAACTTCACCTTGGGAGACTCTAGGGTGATTCAGATCCACTTGATCCACTTGTTATCAGATCTGGGCCATCCACTGCAAGAGAGGTCATAGTTCCATCGCCAAGCTCGAGATTGCAAGTGCAAACACAGGCAGGATGAAACGATGAAACTTTAGGATATGAGCTGAAACAACAACCACCAACCGACCGACCGACCAACCAACCCATCAACAACCACCAACCAACAACCAACAACAAACAACCAACAACCAATAACCAATAACCAACCACCAACCACCAACCACAACCACAACAACAGCGGACATGATTTCACTGCAGGACATGTTCATGCCAAGCTGGTTGAGTCAGTCGTTGCCTCCAACACTGGGTCGTGGATCAGGAGTGTAGGTGCCATCCTGAGGCAAATTTCTCCGATGGGCTGTCCCTTTGAAATATATCAACTCAAAAGGCTCTGAGGTTGAAAAGAACTGGGTATGGGTAGGGTCATGTTGTACCAATGTGCCCAAAAAAAAGTGATTCCTTAGTATCAAACAAGCCATTTTGGGGGTTGACAATTGTGACCCATACCCAAACGCCAGCAATGAATGTCCTTCTCTGTTTCTCATTGTTTCTCCCATTCTTTTTCAGACATTCACAAGCTAAACATGTCATGTCTACGAGGCCCCGACATCTTGAAGGCTCGGCAAACCCTGCTCTGGTGCAAAGGTTGATACATTCTCGTACTCGTCGCTTTGGCTCGCCTCGTCCTGAAGGCCATAGCTGTGATTGGTCACCAAACTGAGACCAAAGTGCATCAAAATAGCTGTTGAATATGACCTGTTGACAGATCTATGGTGCCAAATCAACCAAGTTATAGTGACACTTTGGAATCTGTGTACCTGCAAGGGTTGTCAGTCCTTGGGAGGTTCTCGAGGATCGTGTGCTAGAATGTGGTCTGGCAGTTTGGAATGGTATTCTGTGCCATTCGTCATCCTCACCACGTTGTAGTTTCCATGTACGTCCGACACTCCTTCCACCAACTTGTCATGATGGAGGTAATTTTGGAAGGATCTCGCCTGCAAGTGGCAAACAGTTTCAGGTTCAAAATACCATTTCACTGATCCACCTTTGAATTCAGGGTCTAACCCGCACCCCCAGACTTTTGGGAGGGACGCTTTGGGGGTACCAAACCAGTGGAGGCCTCAATTCACTAGAGAATTATCCTGTTTTTGACAAGCTTGTTTGTTTGATTCTTTAGGCGAAATTCCAAGGGATTTTCAATGCAGCCTTCAAGAAATCCACCGAAGGGTGTGTCTGCAATCACTCCATTACCCAGCCTTGTTGCGCTGAAAAGTGTAGCAAGCCACCAGCAGTCCCAGGAAAGCCAAACCAGAGAAGATCAGCGAAAAAATCTGAGTGATTTCGCACCACTGAATCTCTGTGCTAGGACCACCAAAGCAGCGGAACTTGTCTGGAACCAACTGCGTTCCTGTCAGGGAACTCCCCGGAAACGAAGGATCAAATGTCTGGTATGGAAAGAATGCTAAAGAAAATAACAGCACTACGTTGAGGCGATCTACCTAAAACAATGCTGAGATGTGTTTTTTTGCCACTGTGTTGAATGCCTCAACAGAGACTTTGACGCAATTTATTTTTGCAACATAGAGTCCTTGACAATCCAGCGTGGCAGGCACAGGATAATACATCTCAGCACAGCGAGCAGTACAAACCATAGTTGGTCGAGAGCCCTCTTCACAAGTAGACAAGGCTGAGTTTGGAATGTTCCGGTGCAGGGGCGCGAGACAATCACCTGCAGGGAATGAAGTGGAAACAGAAAGGCACTGGTGGCACTGCAGAACTTGCTACAGCAGCTGTAATTCTTGGCCGATCTCGAAACTTCTAAATGAGTTGGTTGTTTGTCAACTATTTCTTGCCCAATAATTCTATTCCTTCAGCAACGTACTCAGCGTGGTGCAAAATTGTTTGCAACACAAGAAACAGAGAGAAAACGCTCACTACTTGGTGAATCAGTGAATCACTTTCAAGAATACGCCCGGTATGACCAGCAATGCCTATAATGGAGCGGCACTGCGGACCAGTATAGCCAGCATCGCAAATGCATTCGCAACTATCATCCGCTCGGCGATTACCAGTGGCTGTGCCATGGAAAACACAGTCAAAGTCTGTACACTCCTCAAATTCTGCCGTGCCCACCAGACAAACAAGTGTTTCAAGTCAAAGCCTTTCAGTTTCCCAGTCCCATCAAACCATCCAGAAAGATTTTCGATAAACATCCCATCAAGAAAAATCTTCAGGATACTCCCTGAAGCTAAGCTTCCAGTGGTGTGGTGGTGGTGGCTTCCTCATATGCATCTGGAGTGTTGCCAAACTCATCCACGGGAGCTTGGTTTACCCAGATGGGGTCGCAGGTGAAGCCCAGCGGGAGCAAATACGCACCATCCTCCGTACCTGAAGGTCATAAAGTCCTAAGGTCTGAAGAAAATGGGGATTAAAATTGAATATTCACAAGGAACAAAGAAAGAAAACACCAATAGGAGGGAGTGTTGAGTCCCTTTGTCTTATGAAACCGGAAAGGCAACAACCAAAGCAAACAAATGGCTAATCGATTCCTTCCCTCCCGCAAGTGATCCTCAGCCAGGTTGCAAGTAAAGCTGGGGTGATTTGACTGGTATCCTTCTTGGCAGCTGGGTGTGCACACGCCGTTAGGCATGATCCAATTGCCCTCCAAGCAGGCAGGTTGACGCGAGTTCATCACGCCTGGCACCTGTAGTGGGATTAAACGAGGGGATGGGATTGGTTCACAACTTGGAGCCCCATTTTGTCCCAAGGTTTCGAAAATCATATTCCCCTGATTGGCAGATTGGGCTGGCCATGTGCGTCGCATATTCAGTCTTTACCCGCTTCTGGCTGGGCCTGGCAAAGGGGGATCTCACAGGAATCCCCAGCACGATCTGGACTGCATTCGCACCTCAGAATCAGTCATGATGCACCTCTTCCCAACTCTTCATACTCTTCCAATGCCCCAACACTAATATAAACAAAGAACAACGGTTGCCCATGTTGGATCTTTAAGTAAACTCCATCAAAACTTATCAGTGTGACCCCTATATCATCATCACCACCAGGACTTGGGACTCAACTGGTGCTTTAGATATGGGAGATCCTAGAGTTCAAGACTTCCGGGACCACGTCGTGCCATGCCACACACAATTTGGACCATTCTCTTTACTCCCAACTGCTTCGCCACGGCCATTGCAGTCCTCATCACGGTGACTTGGGTTTGGATTTGGGCAGGCATAACCCAGAGTGCGGTGATAGTTCCTTGAATTCCAAACCACTATCTGACTGTGTCAGCTACTGGCTGTGTCTCAAAAACACCCTCGTCGCGTAATCCACAGCCAGTAACTGCCGAGCAACGATCAGAGAGTCACATGTGCAGGAAACGAGCTCCAGAATTTTGGTACGGTACCTGCTCCAAATCACTTGCCCAGCAGGCGTGCAGCTTTGCGAAGGCTTAAAAAAAACGACAAGGCAAGAAAGCAGCAACTTTGCACACTGGATGTAGTAGGTACCAAGACCATTGTTGCTCGGGTACCTGCAGCATTTTGCGTGACCTTCCAAGGTGCGAAGGTGTGATGGTGTAGTCTCATGTATACAGCACCATTCTTGGACCCTGAGTTGAAATCATAAGGGCCGAGGCGGCCGAGGCGGCCGAGGCGGCCGAGACACCTGCACTTCAGGTTCCAAATGGTGCTACCAAGAGTGGGCATCGGATTAAAAGTTGGCTGTCTGCCAACTTCGCTCCCATAGCCACTGGAGAGCAGATCTAAGACATCCGTCTCCAGCAGCCACTTTCCAGCCTGGCTTTGCCAAGCCCAGCAAGCCCAACACGGGACAAACCACAACAGCAAGGAAAGGGTCAAGTCTGCTCCTCCAAAAATGGATAGTTGATTGATATCTGAGGATGCCTTGATCTCAAATTGACCCATACCTCTAGACTTGGAAACATGATTTATATATTGGGCTTAGCAGAAATGCTGAAATTGGAGCAGTATTTCTACCTGTGACATGCCCAAGGCCGGCCTGTCCATTCCTCTCATCTCCATCATATCGAATTCGCATAGATCCATCAATCCTCGATTGTCCCAGGACAGGGTTGCCCTCAACAAAGGAAGAGAAGTTATTTGAATTGGATCACTTCAACATTCATCCCTTTACAGCAAGCGTGGTGTTGTGTGAAAATAAGCAGTCCAAATTCTGCCTGATTCTGTGATATCCCAGAATTGATATCCCATAATAATAGTTTAATAGTTCATATGATCCCATATAATCCCATCATATATTCTCAAAAGAACTGCCATGGCCAAGTCATCCAAGTCATCCAAGTCATCCAAGTCATCCAAGTCGCTTCGACCACTGGGCTTGCCCCGAGACGCAAACCGGATGCTTGTAGAAGTCGCCATCCTGGCATCAAAAAATGGTGATATGATATTTATCACCACCACAAAATATCATAAAAATATGGTGATATGATATCATTATGATAATTTTCACCACGAAAAATTGGTTTGTTCTGTGACTTTACGCAATCATCATGAGGATCTAAGCGAGTCTAAACCAATCAAGGAGCAAAAATGGCATATCCAACCCACTGAAGCTTTATACCAAGTGCCTGGGAAATGTCGCACAAGCCCTGCACGCGGACACAAGCAGGACCTCGAGCAAAGGCGACGCTGATACAGACGGTCCAACCATGGGCAACATGGGAATGTAGCGAAGAGATATCTAAATACATGTAACATATGTGTGCATCTATCTGTATGTGTGTATTGTTATTTATAAATTTCATGGTACTGTACATAATATATATATATAGTAATATGTGTGTATAATGTCAAAAATTGAGGATTTCTGTTGTTGAAACATGGATTCCAACAAGATCCACAACCTGTCACCCAGAAATACCATTCCACTGCACCTGGATTATCACCACAGTAGTTGGTCGTTGAATACTGCCCTTCCGGCATCTGGAACCTTGGATTTGTCTCTGTCAGCTCATGGTGCACCTCTGTCCACGTTCATACACTGATTCTGCCCTGAAGATATTGTGGTACCGCAGAGGCAAAGTAAAAATCTGTGAGACTGAGATATTTGATAATGCTCCAAAGAAATGGGCTCCGAAGGGATCCACCCACCCAAGAGCGTGCGCGATGGGATACTTGGGCAGGTTTGACAATGTGGTATATCAATGCCAATTTTAAGAGGGATAATGATCATACATGATAATTAATTGGGCGGATTTGGGGTAGAGACCAATTTTTACACGAACCCCATGTACAAAGTTTATCTGCGGGGTTTGGATATGAGGCCATGTGCCAAGTGACGCTCCAGAGGCTTCCGCCGATGCCACCTGAATCTCATTCTGCAGATTCGCCAACTGCTCTGAAGTGAAGAGCTCCTTGGTCCATTGGTGCATGGTGAGGCTGCGGAAACTTGCCAAAATCATACCTTGTTTACAGTATTGGTATATGGGCATTTTTTGAAATGAATCCCGAAATCATCCATGAGAAAGCCCCATAAAATATGGGAAGAGTTGGTACCTTTCAGTGCGACACGGGGAGGACGAGGCTGCTAGCTTCGCCAAGCAACTACGAAGCAGCCCAGCGTACATGTTCCAGGATCTTCCATCTGAGCAGGAATTGTTCGAGGACTACGCAGCCGCATATCTCTTCATTGTAATATTGTAATCAAATTGTAATCATGTTGCCTCCAATTTCCATCAAATTTGCCAACCTTCCACGGCATGATTAGCTTGTAGCTACCCAACTGCTGGGGATGACTAAGAACAGCTGGTTGTCATTCCCTTTCCCATTCCAACGGCAGCCCCAGATCAGGCACTGCAGCTGTTGACATTAGCCATGGCACTGCAGCATCCATCTTTGTCCGGTTGTTCGGATCCTTTGCGACCAAAACGAATCAACAAATGACAAGGATGGACCTGTCAGTTTTCAGATGTTTTCAGTGAGTTATGCCACACAGCTCAGTTTTTTTCCTGTCAAAAATGCTGTGGTCATTTCATCCGATACGACAAACCCCAGGTCGTCTCAAAGCCCAGTGGCTGCTTCATACGCGAGCGCAGCAGGACTCTGCAACTGAGGAGAGAGGTTGCCAGGTGCTGGCCACAGCATGTGTCAAAACCCTGGTACCCTGGTGAAGCCCAAACTAGTTTCGAATCGTAGATGGTCATCAATGTTCATCCGTTCATCCCCACCAAATATGGATAGATAAATATGGTATCATAGGTTTTGATCCATCCCCGTATCACAACACGATCCACAGCTCTGATGAACTGTCAGAATTGTCCACTCGTCACAGTGTCCAACGCTTGGGCTGCAGAATGTTGCATTGCAGCTGCGGCCAAGGCTCGTATTCCTGAAATGTGAACCTGCACTGCGGGATTTGGATGGCACATTTGAGTACCAAGGCCATGCAAATTCAAAAGTTGATGCTGCCTTATGGGAGCACAATAGAGATTCGGCAATCAGTATATTGAAACATATTGAAACTATCACAACAGCCCGCAGTGCATCCAAAAAGCGCTGAATTCAATATTCGACACTCCGCAAAGATTTGATCACCTGACGTGGTGAGTCGATGGGCGAGAAGGGTCAAATGGGTCAAAGGAAATGCTGAATCCACCTCCAGGCACCAAAGGCATTTGGGTGAGAATCCACAGAGTACAAGAGTCTGACCCACAGCCACAGCTTTCTGGCACGTTTGAGATCCAAAAAAATCATCCCGCTTAGCAAAGAAACAACTGCAGAACAGTGCTACAATACCTACAATACATTCCCTGAAAGTCACAAGTCAACAAGCACAGGTTTTGGACTGTTTGATCAAATGGGAGTGTCAGGTAATTCCCTAGAAATGACATGGTGTTTGATCCTAAGAATGATTGTCCACAGAGGCTGAGATAGGTTTTGAAGTTTTTGACTCCCAGATATTTGTTGGGTACTAAAAATCACCCAGCCATTTGTGGGTCCATCGGTACCCCAATTTCTTGCCCAGTCGACGACATCCTGTGACCAAGTCACACTTTGCTTTGGTTTGCCTCCTCAATTGAATCAGGATGGATGTTGCACCCGGCGCCGCCTGGACTGTGCCATAGGCTGTGCCATGGACTGTGCCATGACCCTGTTTTCCAAAGGCAAGATCTGCAGAATCTGAAGATGCCAGGAATGTGGGAAGAAATTGTCCCAAAAGTCAAGAAAGGTCCAAACATGTCCCAAAAAAATAAAGAAAAAAATGAAGGAGAATCGCATTCGCATCCGATCCTCGCAAACGAAGTACTGCGCTTCAGCACATACCAGGCGCGGCTCTCCCTCTGTTATGGCATTCCTGAGAAATGAGATGGAGTCAAGTGGGCTTGCAGTCCTCTCCCAGCGTCAATCGGGGTCATCGCGCACTTCAAGGGTGTAGACAGATGGGACTCTTTGACTTTGCTGTGTTCAAACTCTTCAACTTGCAGACATGAAGATGGTGAGTTGTACCAATGGGTCAACAGACATTGTCAGTATCAATACATCTCTTGAACATGAACACCCTGTGAAGGTCCTGGAAAGCTGCAAGTCCCTCGCTATAAGAGATGCTTGGGCTACCCTCAGGGATTTCTACGTGGCAACAGAGCATCCTCATATTCAAAAGTTTATCACCATACACAAATTGGGTAGGTTCCATTTCCACAAGGGGGTTCATGTCCCTCAAATCAGCTTGCAAACCCAGATTCGAGGCCAAGGTTGGCGTTGCATCCACTTGGCCTCGTGGCACAGCTTGCATGTACCGTACACAAGCACCATGCCTCTGTATGAATGCACCCTTGGCAGCGCACATCTTCAGTATTTTTCTCAGGACATCATTGGAGAACAGGATATCCACATTTGGAGGATTCTTGAAATCGTGGATCCCCAAAACCATGGGTTTCACTTTTTCAATACTAAAATGGTCTATTTTTTTATTATTTGGGGTACCACCATTTTAGGAAACCACGTGAAACCACCATTTTTTGTCACAACAACAGGTGACATCTTCCCCGCCTGTTGCCACCTGAGGGACAACACACTGAACCATCTCAGCATCGCTCGCATTGCCATCGATGCCTCAGCTCGTTTTTGTTAGGCAATTAATGCGATATAACCAGTAATAAATGGTGTTGGTGATTTATAGTGGGATATAGAACCAACAATTAGGGTTACCCTCCAGTGTCATCAAACATGGCTAGTCCCCGCACTGCATGGAGGTTTGAGTGGGAAAATCGAACTAAAAGAGGGAATTGTCCATTGCCATGTTTGATTACCGAAGTGTAAGACATGTTGAACCGTACCCAACTGGCATCCCCAAGTCCTTCAGCAACATGAACCAACCTCAGCAAACATCAACATCAACCAGCCATCCATCAAGCCACAGGGTGGTTTCCCTCTGCCGAGATTCATTGCAACGCTGGAATGGTGGGTCTCTTATTGGGATCATCACCTGCTCGAGATCAGCATTGGACGTGGCCCAAGATGGTAAGGCAGCGAACTTGGGGAGATAAATCTGGACAATCTGGACAAAAAAAATGCGAAAGTCTGTTGCTCAATCCAAGTTCTCTGAATCGCAATGCTGCCCAAGCACAGACCAAAGTGCAAATATCACCATGGAGCAGTTCCTGCGCTCAAAAAAATGTAAAGTCTTCTCCCGCGACTGCTCCCACTTCTCAAGTTGTACAAATGTACGTGTTCACACAAGAAAGTAAGGCAGTGTCATGTCGTGTGTACACAACCCTCGCTCTGATCGACCGTGCCTCTGATCTTGCTCCCCCACCCTCAGCACATTCTGCCTCAAGCAAACACGTTTGCAGCCATGATTGGATGTATTCTCAGCAACAGTTTGGGTACAGCCACCCGTCAGCGCAGTCCCAACTCTGGCCTCCACAAAGGTCAACATTTGGCCAATGCGACAGGGCCGGGTGGAGGTGCAGGAGGCAATGGTAAAGGCCTTTCAACAGGGCTCCGAGGGCTGGAACCAAAGGACACAAGAAACAGAACAAAAAGATACAAAAAGTGTGGAAAGTTCGGCACAAAGCGCAAGCAATATAAAGGCAGTATTGTTAGCATCGCAGCTTCCCGGCGAATGAAAGGAACTTGGCGTTCTAGTCATATATCCCCACTATATCTCAATCATATCCCCACTATATCCCCAGATTTTTTGCTCTTAAATCCCAAGCGACACTCTGTGCAACCACGATTCCCAGACTGGCCCAGTGATGGCCAACACAAGCACGAAGACCAGTAGGCCAATGCGACCTGCCAGTTTTTATCCACTGCAGTGTCTCGATTTGCACTGGAAACGCAAATATCATGGGAATATCATGGCAATATCATGGGAGCTGTAATATGTGTATATATATATGATATACAATTATTGCAACATCAACAATATGATATGAGTGTGTTTGAAAATGGGGGACCCCAATATCTGGACGATTATTTTATCGGAAAAAAAATGACAGAATATGATAAACCATTCTATTTTGGGGTACCTATTTCCAGACAACCCATGTCCAATCCAGGATTACCCTTGAAAAAAAAATCAACTTCAGCCGGAGTTTTATGTTACGTTCCACCATGTATGTCCAGTATTTTGTAAGATATCCTCCAAAAAAGGCATTGATCCGACATAGACCTGCCCGGCAACCAAGGCTAACCGGTTGACTGTGTGGATTTGACACCACGAGCTCTCAATCTGCAACATGTCTCCAGGATCTCAAAACCCAGGAACGCAGTGTGAACAGCCCAAAAATGAACAGAATAGCCATATTTGAATATTCACCTATCATGTTTTTGCTGAGTTTTCAATCTGAGAAAACAAGATGCAGCCCACGAACCGGAATGCTCACACGTATGTTAATGGCACAGATGTCGAAACACATGAAAATGCAGTCACGCAGAACACTTTTCTGAAAGAGTTTATTTGAACAGTCTTGTACATTTTTCCCCTGTCACCATACCAGTGCACCATACACTGTGGAATATGAGGAAGGTCGCGTGCTAAGTGTGGAGTGTGGAGTGTGGAGCGTGTAAAGTGTAGAGCGCGGTGGAGTGTGGGGTGCAAAGGGTGGAGTGAGTGTAAAGTGTGGAGTGTAAAGTGTAAAGTGGGGAGTGTCGTGTGTAGAGTGTGGAGTGTAGACTGTGGAGTGTAAAGTGTCAAGTGTAAAGTGTGGAGTGTAAAGTGTAAAGTGTGGAGTGGAGTGTAGAGTGCGGAGTGTAGAGTGTAAAGTGTAAAGTGTGGAGTGCAAAGTGCGGAGTGTAAAGTGTAGTGTGTGGAGTGTGGAGTGTGGAGTGTAAAGTGTAGAGTGTAAAGTGTAAAGTGTAAGGTGTAGAGTGCGGAGTGTGGAGTGTAAAGTGTAGTGTGTGGAGTGTGGAGTGTGGAGTGTACAGTGTAGAGTGTAGAGTGTAGAGTATAGAGTATGAAGTGTGGAGTGTAACGTGTAAAGTGTTGAGTGTGGGGTGTAAAGTGAGTGTAAAGTGAGTGTAAAGTGTAGTGTGTAAAGTGTAGTGTGTAAAGTGTAGTGTGTAAAGTGTAGTGTGTAAAGTGTAGTGTGTAAAGTGTGGAATGTAAAGTGTGGAGTGTGACGTGTAAAGGGTGGAGTGTAGAGTGTGGAGTGTAGAGCACGCAGCGCGACACGTCTGAAATGCTGCGCCTGCCACACAAAATGACGACAGAGATCTCCAAAATGCTGCGCCAGCCACGAAAAACGGCAACTCATCTTGTGAAAACGAGGCAAAAGTATTGCACCTGCCACACAAAAAAAGACTTTCGACACCTTATCAAACAGGTTGGAATGTCATGTTTCGTGCGAAGCTTCCGTCAATTTTCATCGCATCTCACAAAATGCCACGCCTGCCACGGAATTTGCACCTTGTCGCCACGTGACGCAGTCCTGACAATCCGATTCGCACGTCTGAAGTGCTGCGCCTGCCACGCAAGATGACGCTGGACACGTCCAAAGTGCTGCGCCTGCCACGAAATTTGCAACTTATCTTGCGAAAACGTCGCAAAAGTAGTGTGCCTGCCACACAAAACGACTTTCGACAGGTTACAAAAACGTCTGAATGTCACCAAGTGCCACGCCTGCCACGCGAAACGAAGCAATGCGATGTTTGAAACCTCCAAAAATGACCCCTTCTGCAGAACTTACCACAGGCACGGCCATACGGCCCTCATGCGAACGGTTGCGGACGGTTGCGAACGGTTGCGAACATAAACGCAACGTCGAGCGAACACACCCTCAACCCCCAGACCCCCAGAGCGAAACGGGAACCCTTGCTACGCATTCGAGAAAAAACTATGACCACCGTTCTCTTCTTCAAACTGCAGGACAAGGCACACCATGTGCAGGAAGTCTGCTCTGACTTGGTGGGTCTCTTGTATTTTGGCTCCTCCATGGTCAGCCTGGGAGCTGGGCAACTGAAAGCCCTGAAAGCTGAAAACTCAACAGCCAAGTCTTAATAAACTCCAAAACTGGCGGCATCGTCCACATCCACAATGCACGTCCCTGTTTTTCTGGATGTAATGGTATACTTGGACAAGGAACACCACGTGCCGCTTCAGTTGCTCAATGCATTGGTTTCACAGAACCGTTCGCACTTCTCTGGCATGGCGCGCATCAGCCACAGGAATTGAGATGCTGCGAGATCAGGGACAGTTTGGATTCTTCGAAGTGTGTCGTTGGTGAACCCATTGCACTTCCGGATCCGATCTGCCTTAAAACTGTCCTGGGATCCTACGAGGCAAAGCAACTATGCGCGTAGAGATTCCATTTGCAGCAGGAAAGGGTGTGGTACAAGTTTCTATCTGGGTAAGTTCCAAACCACCTGGGCTGGTTTTATGCAATGTTGAGCCTCCACAAGCCTCAAAGCTTCGCAAAATAACCTTGCGTCATGCCTTGCACGTCCATTGTGATCTAAGAAAGGACATCACAGTCAAACCGGGCCCCAATCTATTTATTGCCCTCAGCAAAAAATGCAGAAAGGGTCCCTCTTCCATCCCCTCGCGTCCCAGGCGTGCAATTGGCGGCCCATTGAAGGGAACTGGCACCTCGAGACTTACACGTCAAGTCTCCGTTGTTTGCTTTTCAAAGCCACTACCAACCAGGATGTCCGTCCAAGAATTCGGAACACACCAACAACCTCTACATTACAGTGTGTACAGCGCGCGAGAGAAAGAGAGAGAGAGAGAGAGATTTTTCATATAATCATAAATATATATATATATATATCATATATCCGGCTATATCCTCTGTATGATTCTAATTTATAGTGTGTGAATATGTATACAATCGCAGGAAGTTTAGAAGTCAAACTTCCGACAATGTGGACAGAGGGAAAAGCAGAGGTGGGAAGAGTCAGAGAGGAGAAGAGAAGAAGAGAGAAGATCAGAGAAGAGAAAGAGTCAGAAGAAAGAAGATGCAGGCGCGCGAAAAGGTCGGAAAGACTGTGTTTTTCCACTGGCTCCGGAGGGTCGAAAAGTAGGCTCGCTAAAGCGGCGGGTGTGGAGCCACCTGGCCAGATGAGAGATGAAAAAGTGCTCGCCGTTGTGGCGCGAAGCACAGATGGAAGTGAAAAAACCACTTTTGAAGGTTCAGATGTGGTTTTGCGTGGCAGGCGCAAGGGGTTCTGCACCTTGCCAAAAGTGAGCAAGACGTGAAGGTTTTGTAGCATGTCCAAAAATGATGGCAGGCGTGGGACATTTGAAGAGGATCCGCAAAGATGCATTTCCTATGGCAGGCGCAGTACAAGGGACATAGTCACTAGAGATGTTAGAAGGTCAGGGCGCTGATTTCTTGAGATGGGTTGGTTTGCTAAGACACATCTGCGTGACAGGTGCAGCACTTCATATGACCTGGCCTCACTGTTTCGTGGCAGGCGCAGTGCTTTAGACAGATGGAATGGGAATTTTGCAAAAATGCATTGGTACGAGGCTGCCAGCTCTGCATTCAACTTCTATTCTTGAAGGAAGTATCGCAGAATTCTTTCGTTTTTGACGTTGTCAAGTTCAAAAATTGAGGAGGTCTCGCAGAATTGCTGCGTTTTTGATGTTGTCACCTTCGAAAATGGAGGAAGCCTTGCAGAATTGCTGCTTTTTTGATGTTGTCAAGTTCAAAAATTCAGGAAGTCTCGCAGAATAGCTTCGTTTTCAAGCTTGCAGATAGACAGGTAGATAAATAGATAGATAGACAGATAGACGGAAAGACGGCTAGATAGACAGACAGGCAGATAGAGAGATTAACAGATACACAGATAGATCAACGGATATATAGGTAGACAGACAGATAGACAACTGCAACTACACCACACTACAACTACAACTACAAGTACACTACAACTTCAACTACACTTCAACTACTACAACTACAACTACAACAACTTCAACTACACTTCAACTACAACAACAATTACCAGTAATACCGCACAAGGCGGTGGCGGAAGTTTCAGAATAGGAAACCTATACAGATTGGTCGCTGTGAATCACGGATGGCAGAGCGAATCCACTGATGGACTGAAAGGTGGTTGGAGATGTGTTTTTTGGAGTGGTTGGTTACAATGGTTGCAATGGTTACCTGGTCGGTCACCTCACCCACAACTGCTGGATGTAGCTTGGTGTAGTGCAGCTGTAGCTTCAGTTCTAGTGTGGTGGAGTTGTAGCTGTGGTGTAGTGTAGTTGCAGTTGCATTTGTGGTGGTGTAATGAGTGTAGTGTAATGTAATGTAGGGTAGTGTGGTGTAGTGTGGTCTAGTGTAGTGTAGTGTGGTGTGGTGTGGTGTAGTGTAGTGCAATGTAATAGTGTAGTGTAGTAAAGTAAAGTGTAGTGTAGCGTGGCGTAGTGTAGCGTAGTGTAGTGTTATGTAGTGTAGTTGTAGCTGTAACCGTAGCTGTAGTTGTAGTTGTAGTGGAGAGTGGAGTGGAGTGGAGAGGAGTGGAGTGGAGTGGAGAGGAGTGGAGTGGAGTGGAGTGGAGTGTGGTGCAGTGTAGTGTGTAGTCTCTAGTGTGTAGCCTGTAGTGTGTAGTGTGTAGTGTGTTGTATTTGTAGTTGTAGTTGTACTTGTACTTGTACTTGTAGTTGTAGTGTAGTGTACTGTATTGTAGTGTAGTGTAGTGTAATTGAGTGTAGTGTAGTGCAGTGAAGGGAAGTGGAATGTAGCGTAGTGTAATGTAATTAGCGTAGCCCAATGTAATGCATTTAGTGTAGTGTAAACGTAGTGTTGTTGTAGTTGTAGTTGTTGTTGAAGTTGTAGTGTAGTGTAGTGGAGTGGAGTGTAGTGTAGTGTAGTGGTGGTTGTAGTTGAAACTGCAACAAAACCCTCACGTTGTTTGTGCTTACTGCTGACTTTGACAAGGTGCACAATCCCTTACTTTTGACAAGGTGCTTATTACTTGCGAAACGACATCTGGACGTCCAAAAGTGCTCCAAGACCGTCAGTTCTTAACACTTTTGACTTCGAAATGGCTTCGCGCCACAACCGCGCGCACTTTGACATCTGAACGTCCAAAAGTGGTCCGAGACCGTCAGTTTTAACACGCTTGACTTCGAAATTGCTTCGCGCCACAATGGCGTGCACTTTTTCGACGTCTCAACTTCCAAAAGTGCTCCGATGCTGAAATTTTTGTACATTTTGACTTGGAAACGTGCTTCGCGCCACAACGGCGGGCACGTTTTCAACATCTCAACTTAGCTTGGAAGTGCCCTGAACCTGGTATGTTTCGCACTTTGACTTGGAATTGTGCTTCACGCCACGATGGCGTGCGTTTTTTCAACAGCTCAACTTCCAAAAGTGCTCCGAACGTGAAGTGCTTTTAGCTTTTTCACTTCCATATGTGCTCGCGCCACAACGGCGTGCACTTTTCCATCTCTCATCTGGCCAGGTGGCTCCGCACCCGCCGCTTTAGCGAGCCTACTTTTCGACCCTCCGGAGCCGCAACTCATTGGAAAAACACAGTGAGTCGCGACTTTCCGACCTTTTCGCGCACCTGCACCTTCTTTCTTCTGACTCTTTCTCTTCTCTGATCTTCTCTCTTCTTCTCTTCTCCTCTCTGACTCTTCCCACCTCTGCTTTTCCCTCTGTCCACATTGTCGTAAGTTTGACTTCTAAACTTCCTTCGATCATTACACAACACTACAACTACTACTACTCCAACTACTACAACTACTACAACTACTACAACTACTACAACTACTACAACTACTACAACTACTACTACTACTACAACTACTACTACTAATACTACTACTCCTACTACTCCTACTACTCCTACTACTCCTACTACTCCTACTACTCCTACTACTCCTACTACTCCTACTACTCCTACTACTCCTACTACTCCTACTACTCCGACTCCGACTCCGACTCCGACTCCTACTACTCCTCCTCCTACTACTACTACTACTACTACTTCTAGTACTACTACTACTACTACTACTACAACTACTACTACTACTACAACTACTACTACTACTACTACTACTACAACTACTACAACTACTACTACTACAACTACTACTACTACTACTACAACAACAACAACAACTACTACTACTACTACTACTACTACTACTTACTACTTACTACTTACTACTTACTACTTACTACTAACTACTACCTACTACCTACTACCTACTACCTACTACCTACTACTACTACTACTACTACTACTACTACTACTACTACTACTACTACTACTACTACTACTACTACTACAGCTGCTACAACTTCAACTACACTACAACTACAGCTACAACTATGCCACAACTACAACTACCACTACACTAGGCTACACTAGGTTACAACTACGACTACAACTACACGACACTACAACTACCAGTAAACTACACTACAGCTACAACTACAACTTCAACTTCAACTTCAACTTCGCCTGCACTACAACAACAGTTTCCTCTACACTACAACTGCAACTGCAACTACAACTACAACATTACAACTTAAACAACATCAACTACACAACTACAACTACAACTACAACTACAGCTACTCTATAACTCCAACTACAACCACAACTACAACTACAACTACAACCACATTGCACTTCACTACACCACACTACATCCTGCAGTTGTGGGTGAGGTGACCACTGCAACCACTCCAAACATCACAACGACCTTTCGGTCCATCAGTGGAGTCGCTCTGCCATCCATTCATCACAACAACTCACCTCTCCTATAGTTTCCTATCTTTGAAACTTCCGCCACCGCCTAGTGCGGTACTATTGGTATATGTATCTGTCCACTGGGGAACACCCCAACCCTTTCAGGCCCCAGCTGCACGAAGCGGTGTCTGAGCCTACCCAGCGCGGGACCACGGCCATTGGTTCAATGGAGCATTCTGTATACCCTAAAGTTGCAATGTTGAAAAACGAAAATTAGGATAAACCATTGAAATTGAAGGTATATGTATGTATATGTACATATAATATATGTACCCTTTTTTTGGACAAAACAGATGACAAAACCCTTGTTGCAACATGGAATCGTTCAATATTTCAAGGGGCAGAGTATGCTTGGGCCATTGCCGCATAGCCGCTCATGTTTGTTGGTCTTGTCATCATCATGATGCAAGGCATCCGCGGCCCAAGAAAGGCTCACATGTCCCTTGGTACATTGCATGTCCATGCCTT